TTGCTTTCTGTTCAAAAGTATGGAGGAGAAGCTATCTACATGCTTCTGCAAGTCATGATTAAAAATGGATTCCTCATCGACTTTTTTGTGAGACCTTTGTTGTGTTTCCAGAAGTTTCTTTCTTGTTCTGTCGACGACAGTCTTACAGAATTTGATGAACTTGATCCGGCACACTAAAGTGAGTTTATTGGTCATCTTGACCCGTCGGTCGTGCATCTCCCTCAGTTGCGAAAACGTCCTATTTGCCTCCTTCAGATAGGAGTTTGTAAGTCGCTTCAAGTTTGAGATCGTAGGTCTCAAATTATTCCGACGCAAATACTTGCAGAACTGACGGCGATAATGTGCTTTACCATTGCAGTCAGGTAGAAAGCGGAGACAAAACTTGTCTCAAACGTTGTGTTTCTGTTGGAGTTTACACCCCCTATGTTTCTTGCATTCCCATTCCGACACCATTCAAATCATTGATTTCCCCTTTCTTACTCGTTATGTGTCGCTCGGTTGCATGTGATGAGAAGTTCGAAACCGTTGTGCGACACAGTAGTTTTCGCCAGACAACATCAGATTTTTATCTGCTTCATCAATTAGGGGCCCAGTGATCGGGGCACCTGCCGGGTGTTTTGGATTACGACAGTAATCTTAACTCCGGCATCCGATTAAGTTGAAGTCAGCCTCTGGCAATATGGTCGCTGAGACCATCATCGAAATGGAGGGTTTCGTTGTGGCTGTCTCCAAGCCTGACGGTTTGTCTTGGTTTGACTCATCAGGTAGAGACAGCCTAAGCTGGGAGTGGAACTCGGCACGTAGTAGTTGGCAGTTGGTATCATGCTCATTAGGCCATAGAGCATCGCCAGCAGCGCTTGACACACCGGTTAGAATTTGATTGTCCTGTTTCGGAGCACCTGCCTTTCGCATGGGATTACGACACGCAATGTCAGTTGTGGCCTAGAGTGTCCCAAAACCCTTCATTTAAATTTCTGACCTTTGTGTCAAATGATGCAAGCGAACCTCAGTCGCCTTAGTGATCATTATGATAGCCGCCATTCACTATGGGGCGAGTTCCACTCGCAAACCATGCTATATCTACCTAGCGATCTAACCAAGGACGAACCCGTTGGTCATAGCGTGCAGCAATAAGAGTGCAACATCGAAACTTTTAATTCAGTGCAAGACCGAGTGCTCTGAATGCCAGGGTCTGACTTCGACATCAATGCGACTACCAAACTACGCATTTAATCTGCAGTGCAGTAAGCGATAATTGCGAGGCGCAATTCGTTGTACTTTACTCAGAAATAGCAGGGGATGGAGCCGGTGACATGCTTTTACGAATCCTTTACTTTCTCACACTGCTGGGCGTTACGATAGTACGGTAGAACTTAAACTCTCATACTAGATTGTTAGTTTACTATGATTAACATTCCTCGTAGCCATATTTCGGGTCAACAACATCTTGTGCAAAGCAAGGTACAGTGATGGCAATGACCTACCATACCATTGTAACCTGGTGCAATCGAAGTTCCAAAAACATGTTATGGATTCCGTTGTCATTCGGTAACACATGAAAAAATGTTTCGGTTGTAATCTATTGGAGTACAAGCAAGCTGGTTTGTCATGAAATTCGCTTTGACCACGTTGGTACATAAAACGGCATGTGTTTTGAGAGTAAAATAAGTCGCCCGGTTAAATTTCGTTCGCTGAACATTTTTGGGTGAAAGCGTGACCAGAGTAATAATGTTTGAACCAGTAGTTTCGTGACCGGCCGTTAAACAACCCCCTGTTTGCATCATAAATAAGGTGACCAACAATTTCAGAGACGGATTACATAAGGTTATCCGACCAACTGGTAGTAGGTGATTTGAATATATTTCCCGCTTACTTTGTTCGCTCCTCGGCGACCTCCCATACCCACAGTTCAGAGGGTGGTCTGTTGTGAGACACATGCAAACATTCTACTACATTTACAAACGTATCTCTAGATTGAAGCAAACCTTCATTAGCATTGGATCACGTTCTTTGTAACCCAATGAACCGAAAACTTTCGACAAAACTTACGCTACGACATTTCCAGGAACAAGATATCGCAAATGTAAGACCGTTACAGGTTGTCGTGGATTGTATTCCCTAACTAAACACGTTCACTAATCACCTGGGCATAGTAAAACATGACGGTTCTAACTACGAATTCACTCCGGTAGTCTTCTAAGCCGTTGTTGTATAATGTAAGCTTGCTCCGGTTAACCTCCGGGAGATTATAACCGAATTGGACAATTGCGGGCTGAGCTGCAGTTAGTAAGCTGCTTCCATTTCCTCAACGATTACCCCATTCCACTCATTACAAACCGTGCCACTGACTTTATGCGCCCGAAGACGGTCAACCCTGTTCTTAAAAAATGTATCATCCTCAACGTGCCTTTCAAAGTGCACGTCGCCCTCGATTTAGTGAACAGAATTCTCGCGACTGAAGTAGCCGAAACATATCCTGCAGGCTACCTGCACGTTATGACACAGACTACCCCGCTTACCAAACAACGCCTTATTGACAGACTCTCGGTCTAGTCCAGGTAGCATATTCTATGTCAGTTCAGTTACACCTGTGGTGCAAGATCTGTTAGACACACCGCCAGGCATTTGTCAAAAAGGATCGCTGAGCACTCACAGGGGTTCGTTAAGAAAGGTATTGGTCGGAGGATTGAACAATACCATCATGCAGCGCTTGATCCAAATTGGACACGAAATCCGGCTAGCTGACTCATTCAACGCCTTCTACACTGCACCCAACAGGTAGCCCAAAATGCTTAGAAAATGGCTCCTTAGGATAGCTGAGGCTATTGTCATCAGAATGAAGCAACCGGAGTTGTCCAAAAGAAAGGCTGTTGTTCATGCAATTCTCTGCCATGGGCAAACGCCAACTCCTCAGCGTCGGACAATAGCGGTGACCAAGTGCGAACCTCTTGGCGTCATCAACAGTTGTAGTGCCCGTCTTCAGTTGATCAAAAACTATCGATCGAAGGTAGCAGCATCGTCCAAATGCTCCCGAGTCACCCATTCACATTCCGGTCATCATTGAGTTGCGTTGTTTATGTTTTCTAACCACTGAGTTTGATCGGTGAGAGGTATTGGAAAGTGCTCTCTTCGCAAATTTAACTTCACTGTTTGGCCGTATGATCTATGGGCATTATTTCCGAATTCAGTATTACCCACCGAAATCGCAGTTCACCCTAGGGCTTTGAATTTAATTAATAGTGGTTCATTATCAGTCTGATGGACTTAGCCACGACTCCTTGGATATTTCTGATGAACTTCACCTTACTAATTTCATTCCAATGGCTAGCTTTTATGTAGTTGACATGGATTCGGAAAAGCTGGTGCTGAGTACCGTTGGTATACCAAGTGAATCGTATGACCCTGAATACACAACGTCTTGGCTAATGCTGTGCCGATGGTTTGCATACAACAAATGGCACATGCATAGGTTTAACCCCAACTACTTCATTTGTTTAGATACATTGGGAATAACTGTGTGCGGGCTATGTTTCCTGGTTCCGCAAGCAACGACCAGAGTGCAGCTACTACTAATGCCCAATCTTGCTAAGCTTTCGGAAACTGATGCAATGGAAATTACCCTAGTTACATTTATTCCCATCGGACAGGAGATGGCTGTTTTAGGCGTACTTAGAACACAGACGAAATTGACACCTTGACTTAAAGTTCGAAGATACAGGTGACCTTTCAACGGAATATTTACTCCCATTTTCTTCCTTCGAGCGAAGACTATAGTAGAGGACCGAGACCTATAGTCCCCTGTGCGTTTTCCGTGTGAAGCGATTTTGTAATGCACCTTTTTCCCTACCATTGTTACTAGTCTCGAGCAATTCTGTAGTGATTGGAAAGCCATTTTTACAAGTGAGGTGGTCGTTTATATTGAGCAAACTGTGGGACCGTCTGGCTCACCCTTGTATAGCTTTGCTACAATTGTTGAGAGTTCATCAAATCTAGGATGAGAGCAAATGAAGTAATAACAAAAATATTCCCTGTTTTGACAATTTTTTATTAACTGCACCACAAACATCTTTCATTCGGGGAAGGTTAGGCCCATCTTTCTGCAACCGATCTTTACAAACCATCAGTTAGGCTTGTTCTTGTCTCTAACGCTCTCAAATCGCAGGTTAGTCATTAAGGAATCAACGTTGTAGAGCGCGGCCTTCTGCCTCTATGCTTGCATACGGAACTGGTTGCCAATGGTACCGGGATGTCTGCAGCGAGGCGCAATGCGACAACGGATGTGGAGAGCTAGCAAAACGGCCGTGTTGAAAGACCAATGGCATCTGTGCGTTAGACTAAGCTGGCAAGAAAGTGCACGAAATAGTCGAAAGCATTTAAGCACTTTTATTCGGTGCGTTCGTGCAGTACGCTTATGTCCAACGACAGAAGAAAGCAGTCTGTTACTTGGAGACTCGAGTACTTCAATCAGTGAAAGAAACTTTTACGCGGCAAAATGGCGCGGGAAAGAACCGTGACAGTAATAATAAGAATATTTCAAATGTCGAAAAGTATATATATGTAATCTAAGGGGATATTCTAAATTTAATGTAGAAAGCACGTGCTTTTGTCAAAAAACATAATGTCTACAGTAGATGTTCATTCGAAATGTGCATCAGGAATATAGGGATGGGATATAGACAGAGTTGAACCGTTGCAACAATTGAGGATATACCGCAAAGTCGAGGCAATTTAAGAACTAAAGCGGCTAAACTAAGTTGGTAGAAATAAACAGGTTTTGATGAGAAGATAATTTAACCTAAATTACGTATCTTGCAAAGAGATTGGAGCCGAAACAAAGTGGTTGTACTTAGGCCACACCAAACGCATTATAGCCTTGTCCACACTACGATTATATTACATTCAACTTTCTGTTTCGTAATAGTGTTTCTTGTTTAGGTGCAGTTTAGTGCATTAAAAATTGTGTGCATCACCAGTAAAACATTAATTGTTTTTTCATTTAGTATTCGAAAGAAAACTGATGGAAAGAATAAAGGATGAAGCTGGAGTAAGCGGGTTGCTGGATAACACTGCAGGTGAGACTGCAATTCTGTAAAATCCATGCACTCCACCTCACTGCAACCCACACTTTCACTTACTTGACTAATGAGCCGAACATTTACCGATGGATGTGCGGGGTGTAATTTCTATAACAGAATTTGTATGATAAGTATACTCGTGTATCTTTAAATTTGGAATATTGGGTAGTTCGGCTTGCTTTATCTTGCTAACCACATGCGTAACGTAGTTTGTTACCTAATGTTCTTAATTATCATTGTAGGCTTTATTGTTTGAGTAAATAATTAATGCGATATTGCGCCCCTTGACCTTTCCACTGAGTTCATTGTGATCGCGGTGACAAAATAACAAAGCAGATTTATGATTACGAATGAGTAGACGGATTTCGGTATGATTCAAGTTGGTTCATCGCAATTAGATTCCAAGCCGCATAGGTAAGCTACCAATCTGGAAAAGCACCAGACGCACGTTTCGCCCTATTGGGGCTCGTCAGTGGTGCGCATCCATCGGTCCCCTACTGAGGATCGAACCCATGACTGTTAAAGGCTAACTCTAACTAACCAGCAGCTTATGCCACTGAGCCATGGGGGACGACAGCCGATCATTACGAATTGAAACCTAACGGCGATATATCCCAACCCATCATCCACTGTCGTGCAGGTTATTGTCCGTGCAAAGGATAGTGGTTGGCCGTCAAGGTCAGATCTTCCCTTGCCAGTGCCATAAATCCACACAGCAATTTGGGGCTTGGGTTTTTGCTCACCACCGACGAGCTCTAAAATGGCGAAACGTGCGTCTGGTGCTTTACCGGGTTGGTAGCTTACCTATGCGGCTGGGAATCTAATTGAGATTAACCAACTTGAAAGCAGATTTACCTATGTTAACTGGTGTCATACGCGCCCCTGATTCTTCTAGCTGTATGCCCGATTCGGTGAAATTCTTTAATGAACACTGGACATATCTGGCTCGTCTACATCCACAAACCATGCAGCTCAACAGTAAATTCAAGACAAACTCTGAACTAGTTGCCAACTTTCGTTACTCGCCTGGCAGTGGATGATGCGACAAGCTATATCGCAGTTAGCTTGTGAAACTTGGTGGTCCGAACCTGTTCCCCGTGGCCAATTGCCTTTAGCTGCTGACTGGCGGTGTAAGCACCTGGTGCTCATGTGTTCGAATCCTGATGGAACCGTTGGTTACACACTACTGATGATGCCCAGTAGGCTGAAACTACAGTCTAGTACTTTGGAAATTATGGCTTCGAGATCTCAATTAATTAGTTAAATCGCCATATTCTCAGCAGCAGGTCATAACACACTTGAAATATGTAAAGTGTGTGATTCGGTGGCAATTGACGTCAAACGGGTAAAGGTGATCAAAACTCTACACACGCACAGGTATACTTAGTTTCCTAATACGCTTAGCTCAAGGAAAGAAGTAGACAACCGTTGAGGTTACCTCAGCGGATGGGCTAGGATTCCGCAACAGTTTATGCAATTCTGCATTACAGTCCATCGAACGAAAGGTATTAGAGTATGTTTCAGTGATGGTGTCAAAATTTCAAAAATATATCAGGGCGCACTTCAAACGGCATGCAGCACATGCATGCTAAGTCGAATGACGTACAGTGTTTGGCATGCAAATCGGCACAACATCAAAGTATCATTTACTCTTGTCTTCGTTTGTTGGATACCGATGGTTGTGATGAAATTTTTCACGTTTGAAACGCTGTATATCTTGTTTTCCAAATGGTTAGATAACGACCAATCCGTAACGACTGACATGGATTTGGAACAAAAAGCCGTAACAGGTAAGTCAGTAATTTGTAAAGATTATATATCTCTACGATGTTTTCATCTGCAGCTACTGATGTAACAACGGGACTTGTTGGTTGGCGCCTGGGATAATTGTCGTAGAAGTGTAACCTAAAAGACCCACCAAATACGGGATAAATAAACAAATAAATCATATATTCCGCGACGGTGCGAGAAGCTGTCTGCTAAAAGAAACATAGCAAACATTGTTACATAATTTTAATGCCCATTGCTTAATGATCTTTAACAATAATCATGAGCGCATATTTCATATTTAGCTAACACAAAATATACAAACCGTTCTGCTGTTTTATTTTCCCGTGTCGTTGAACCTGTTTTTCACGATCGCATGAAAGAGGTTTGGACGAAGAAAATGTTATCTGAATTGGAAGGGATTGTGGTCAGAAAAATTAAACACATATTTTTTGCAATTTACTCAGGCACCATCGATACGCTTCTCGAAACATTATCCATGGATTGTGATATCCGGAAAATATTAATCGCGTGTTAAACGGCTAATGACCTACTAATCGAAAGCTTGAAATTACGCAGTTTAAAGTCTGTTCTGATATCGGTAGAAAGCATTTCCCAAGCTTTGAGTAGTATACTAGGAAGAAACGTTATCTATTTCTAGCAGTAAGTTTTAGGATTGTGACATTAATCTCTTTATTGCATATCGGATATCTGCTGCTTAAAAACATTGAAAGCAATGCTCGGAATTGTGAATTTGATGGTTTATTATTAAGTAAACATTAGTTCAGCTTCATTCTCCGAAGACAGATTAGGTCAAATCCGAGCTTAACCACAACGCTCTCTGTATGTTATGTTTGAGGCATTGCCACATACGTTTTCGTGAAGCGTAGCTGGACACTCTCAAGAGCATGCTGGTCAGATTTCGCAGATACGATTGAACCAATGAGCAATACCCATCAGGCATTACATATGTTTTGTAAAGCCATATGCGAGTTTCAGTGAGAGAAAAATGGTGACATATGTGTCCGATGGTCTTCATGGTCTTCGAAACTTGGAAGTCCCAATGTCCATATACTCAAAGGTAAATGAATGTCGCACGCCCAAGTCACGAGCAGTCCTGCATTGCGAGATGCATGTGGCTTGCAATAAAAGACTGTCTGGCGGTATTTGGCATTTGTACAACAAATATTACACTTGACCACGGCAGATGACATCTGCCACCGTTGGCGTCAAGACTCAAGTGCAGATATGTCATATTGAAGGATATGTACGACTGCCTAGGTATTTGCACTTTCTTGTGGTTAGACAAGTTAATGTCATCAGCAAACAGAAACATAGCACCATGTATTATGCTCTGGAGGACATCTTGAACATATATGAGAAAACGTAGTGAATTAAGAAGACTTCCTTGAATTACTGCGCTGGTGACTGCTTTCAGTTTAGAGAAAACGTCGCCAATGTGCACCACCTGCTGTCCGTCAATGAAATATGAGGACAGCCAAGAAAACATCGGCTCTCCAATGCCGGTGACCTTCAGTGCGTTGAGTAACCTTCGATGAGGTGCTTTATCCAAGGCATTTTGCATATTTAGGAACAGGATTACGACATCTTTTCCGGTATCTATGACAGCTGTTCTGTGCTTTAAGAAATCTGGCTGACATGTTGCACAGATTTGACCTTGCATAAAGCCGTGCTGCGAATCGTTAAAGATGTTGAACTTGTTCAAGAAAATAAGTAGTTCCTCTTTCACTATTGGTTCCATTATTCTAGACGCGGTGGATATGTGAATGATGGGACGAACGTTTTTAATCTCCGGGGCGGCTACATTTTGTGACGCAGCAAAACAACAGAAATCTTCCAATGAGTAGGATATGTTCCCTTGTCAAAGGATAGTGTAACGATGTTGAGCACAAGCAAATGCGTCACTACCACTGCTTTTTAGTAAACAGTAGGGATTCTATCAGGTCCTACGCAACTCGTAGAGCAGAAGGGAGAGATTTGACTAACGATTTTCGTACTAGTGAATTCCACTGTGCACAGACCTTCACCCTTGTGCGGCATGAAAAGTGTTGGTGTGTCTGATGACACATTAACCAATGATTCGGCAAAATAGACTGAAAGCTTTGCAAATATAAATGGGTGCGCCGAATTAGGTTTAATCAGTCGTGGTGATAACATTAAAAATGTTGATGTGACGCGAACTCCCGACATCTGAAGATCCATTCACTTTATGAAAAATGTAAACGTTCAAAAGTATAACAATTGCCGTGAATACCTTCGATAGGTTTTATTATGAAAACAAAATACCGTTTCACGCTGCCTTGAAACCTTTGTTTGTGACAATGGACCGATTCAAATGATAATTACTTGTCTCGAAAACATATTGGAGCCGAACCATTCTGGTTGTACTAGGACTACCCCACACGCATTACAGCCTTATTCGCATTACGATTATAGTACATGCAATTTTCTGTTTTGTAACAGTTTTTCTTGTCAAGGTGTATTTTGGTGTCTTGGGCATTGCGTGAACCTCCATCAGAACATTAATTCTCTTTTTATTTAGTATTCGAAAGAAAACTGACGGAGAGAATAAAGGATGTAACTGAATTGCTGGATAACACTGCAGGTGAGACTGGAATTCCGTAAAATTCATGCACTCCACCTCACTGCAACCCAAGCTTTCACTTACTTGACTGATGATCTGAACATTTACTGATAGATGTGCGGGGTGTAATTTCTATGACAGAATTTGTAGGATTATTACGCTCATGCGCCTTAAAAATTGTAAAGTTGGGTAGTTCTGATTGCTCTATCTTGCTAATCACATCCGTAACGTAGTTTGTTACTTAACGTTTGTAATTATCAACGTACGCTTTGATGTTTGAGTAAATAAGTAATTCAACGTTGCTCCCCTTGTCCTTGCCTCTGTGTTCATTGTGATCACGGTAGCCAGGGGACAAAAAACAGATTGATGTCTGTTGACTGGTGTCATACGCGCGCCTAATTCTTCCAGCTGTGTGCCCGATTTAATGAAATTCATTGACATACACTGGACATATCTGACTGGTCTTCATCCACGAACCATGCAGCTCAACAGTAATTTCAGGACGAACTCTGAAGTAGTTGGCAAACTCGTACCAATTGAAATCAATCTACACGTAGAAATTAGTGTATAGCAGATGGGTTCTGGTTCGAGGAGAAGTCAGACCCATTTTGTATCATCCAGAAATGTAACCTTAACCACGTTCGATAGCACTGAATGAAAAGTGGACAGTTCATTTATTTTTAGCAAAGCCTTTCTCTTGTGATACGTGCGGATATATTACAGCACTCACATTCCTCTTCCATAGCATCGGCAACAAGCTGACCTAATTATTCGAAAACATTGAGCGAGATAATTTGTGGAAAGCGATCGATATTGCACGTGGAAGATGCAAGGGCTGAGACCGGTCGAGCGAAAAGAAATTTTAAAGCGGATCTAGTTCATCATACGCCGACACAATGGCCAAACTATTAACAGTCTAGTTTAATCTCAATAACATGTTCTGAAAGTAATGTTCGTGCAGAATATGTGCTACTTCAGTTAGAGTTTTTAAAAGCAGACTTGAAAACAGAATCGCCTACTTAGCTTTAGACAATAACTTGTAACTAACAGTTCCTTTTTATTTGTCTCCTAAAACCATGCGTAACAACTATCCGACCATCAGCCATTACTAATTGGCAAACATTCCGCAACATTTTATGCAATAATATAGAGCTATTTGCAGAACGAACTATATTAGGGTATGTTGCTGTGAATCGGCCCAAAATCCACAAATTATTCATGGCGCCCTTCAAACGGCATGCGGCATGCACACGCTCGTTTGAAAGACCTAGGCGCCTTACTACTTAAATTGTTGCAACTGCAATTTATCATTGACGCACTTCTACGTTTGCTGGGTATCAATGCTTATGTTGGGATTTATTCACATATTGGAAACGCTGTATGTATTGCTTTTAAAAGGCGCAGCTAACGATCAATTCACAACGACTGAAATGGAACTGGGACAAAGCAACGTAACTGGTGAGTCAAACATTTAGATGGATAATATCTCACTGAGGTTCTTACCTTTTGATCCGCTGATGTTAATTTTTAGCGGGACTTCTAAGGCATCGTAAATTCAACACCACTTCACACAACTATCAAACTAATCACGCGTGGTCCTTAAATGTGTTCACACCTTATGACTCCTGATATACATAGGAATACGTCCTATATAAATCAATGATAAATATAAAAGAGTAGTGCCGCAAGGCATGTTATACGCAGCCACGTTTCACCACTTTTCTTTTATTTGAGCTCCGGTCTACTATTTTCTGCCACTGATTTATCAACTCGTACCTTCGTGTTGTTATCCTATCATCCTTTTTTTCAATTCATCACTTTTAAGTGCGGAAAGCGCGCCATAATTACAGTTGTGATCTTACAATCATTGTTGTTTACTTATGAAGAGACAGCTGGACACAGTTTTGATGAAAAAGGATTTAGTGACCCCGGCGTTTGGCGATGCAGCAAGACATAAGTGAAATTTGCTATAGGCATGATAAGACTATCCTTGGAAAAAATTATTTCCGAGAAATATCGTTATCGACGAGGAAACTGAGTGAATTCGTCCGCAACATCAAACACTGTGCTGTCGATTCGGAAGGACAAAACTGCAACTTATGTGGTCAGTGAAACAATCCAGGCTTAAACATACCATCTACTCCGACGCAAATCTCCTAATTAAACTTCACAACTAATAGATAGCGTAACGGTTCACAAGGAATTAATGCTTATACAGTCAGGCAAAGCGTCCGATCCGGATGGACTCCCACTTATAGTCCACAAGAATTTTGTTGATGTCTTAGCACAGTCTTTTTCTGACCTGTACTCCATGTGCTTACATAAACACAAGAATCTCGACTGTAGGCGAAGTAAAGTCATCACGCCTGTACCGAAGAGAGGAGCCTGTAAATCTTGGCATTTTACTTGTATATCGGTTGGTTTGAAGAGATCTGTGCGCGATACTTTTGAAAGAAAGTTTGCCCAAATCCACCCACCTTCGTTCCCCTTCCCTACTCTAAGCTTCACTTTAGATACATGAACTTGTCTTGCGCGCACTCTGCATTTATTTCTTGATAGCAAGCACAAACCCGCGCAAAGTTGCTTCCTATATTCCGACAACGCTTTCGGTTGTATACTTCTTAAACTGCTGTTTCAAGATCTGCTCCTTTCCGGAGTTCAACCTTGATGAGTACATCTTTTGCTGACTGCATTGCAAAACTTACGCATTTTACCAGTTTTCGGGAATGAAGCAGCACTTAATTCACTACAGATTCTTGTGTGCTTCAAGAAGCAATCTGCCCTACTCTGGCTTTGACGTACATTAGTCCGATTCCTATTCCAAATGAAGTCAGCTTGCAAAGTATGCAGATGACGTGCTCCTTGGTATACACAATCACGCAGCAGATTCGTCGACCAACTTGCGATACTTCTTGGTCCACCTCACGGCTTGGTCCAAAACACGCTGTCATTCTCGTTTCATTCACTAATGAAAACCGATATCAGCAACTCCTCACGCACACTCCTCTTTCTTTGTATTGATAGTAACAGTCTGAACTGTACGCTAGTGAAATACCTAAAACTTACTGTGAGTCGTGTGTCACGTGATCCCAAGGAGTGAATCGTTCAATAAGTCAAGAGACGAACATACTTCATCTCCATACTTGGGTCAACAGCTGTGCTTTGTTATTTAAGCGTGCAGCTTATCCCCGCTTGCGTGTTATTGCACTGGATGTATTGCTCACTTGTGATTTCCAATGGACCTTCGAACAGGCATTTCAGAGTGATCAAATTATACTGAGGCATCTTGCTCGATGTAACGTCACTATAATGTTGAAGCCTACTAGCATGATTAGATTTAATCACGTTCACTCGTATGGAAACTGGCATCCAGAATTCTTGCCGATGCCAGGTTGAGAATGTAGCTCGATTTCATGGATCAGACAAACGTATAACGCTATTTATTCGCGCGTCAGTTGTCCCTTATTGGTCAACTTTTTGATGGATCAAAATTTAGTCAAAAAAACTGATGACCCAACTTATTCGACCATATCATCTGTCACGTTTTAAAATTACTGTCGCATCTTATCCGTTTATTATACCCTTTAGGAATATTTTCTCTGTAGCATGGACTTGTATGCTTTGTCTGAATATTCACCTTTCAGGGTTTCATGAATCGCAATGTGGACTATACTTGGCTTACATATCTCTATCTGCCATCGGTCACACAATATTTTTGTTTCTAATTATAATCAAACCGGAAGTTCAGATGCAGTGTTGTCAACATTTCAAACTAATGCATGCAAATAAAGTATATCGAGGATGAGTTAGGCGAAGGTCAGATATTCTGTGACATTAAGCGTGACCCTCATGCGAATGAAGTTGATTGACTTTCGTGTTTACAACGAAACCTATTTCCGGGAAAAGCACGAAGTGTAACACCGTTAACGAAATCGGGTTCAACTTTAATATCGTTTGTCAACCACGCGCCTACCTTGACATCAGCGAATCTACCAACTCCAACTGGTTCTACTGCTCCTCCCGAGGTCATTATTGACCAGTGACTGGTCTGCAGCAAAGTAAACGTTCAGCAAATCACTGTCCGAAGTTTCTGTGCAAAACATCCAAAATGCTTGATGGCAACACCCGTTCTAAACCTGGGTACCCGATTATCGACCGAATTTTCCTTTACCGCTTGTGAATATCGTGCTGAATAAAATGGCGACGGATAATATCTTGCGAAATTTATTCGAAGGAAAAACCTTTTTCTAAATCGCAGCACTTTTCTGTGGATGTTTGCACGTGCACCAAAATTATCTTCATGTCGACATACAGACGGCTGAAAGCACGGGATAGCAATTTAGAATAGTACAGGTCACGTTATCTGTACTTGGTGCAGTCTTACTCATATGCGAAGGAAAAGAGAACGCTTGGATTAATATATCAATGTAGCTGCACATGAAACATTTAAATTTTAAGTTTGTTAACCGACTAATGTAAGGTTGTTAGCATATAAGTCGACTAGTGGCAGAATTAAATGCCTAGACATTCCTAGATCTATATAATGGAGTAAGCTGATCAAACAAGATGTATTTTGTGTTACGTTGTTGTGAGACTATGTGGAATCAGTTGCTATCCTATCAGCTTATACTTAGAGGTGACGATTTATGGCTTACATAGTCGTGTAACGGACGATTTGTTGTTGAGATAGGAGGAGTAGATAAATAAACAAACAAACATACGTTTGCTCTGTGCAGTGCTAGACACAACCATCAAGGCATGGTCAGCACATTAAGGCCACGCCACTGCGAATTTTTTGAAATTTTGTCGTTTTCTTGGTTGGTACCCCATATTTCCAAATGTAATCATCAATGTACATAAAATATTAGGTTAACAAAAGCGGCTGTCTTGCCAGATGATATCATCCTCACAGACCATCATCACTGGAAATGCGACACACGGCGTGCCATCTAGACACTGAAGTTTCATATACATTAGCAAGTTATAATTTGGCACAAGATTACACGCTGTTCAACAAAGTATTTCGTACAGTTGCAAGCACTAAAAACCTACCTCGTAGCTACACATGAGTAAGCTGTTTTCCTAAATTTTACAGCAATATAGGACACCAAATAAAATTTCATGTTGATTCCCGGCTATAGTTAATTATCTGATTTCGCAAGCAGAAGTCAGCCAGAGTTAATTGCGAACAAATATTAGTTGTGCACAGTTTGTTTAACACCTTTCTCCCCTTTTGTGTTTGTCGCAGGATCAACCAGAAGAAGCGGAAGCACTTTTATATTGATTGCTTGTTCAGCGATCTGCGCGGTGTATTTCGAAGTAGCTGGATGAATCAATTGTTGTATCCTGATTTCAATATAACGCATCTGCTTTATTATGAAATATAATACAGTTCCTTGCTTAATGTATATTGTGTCATCAACCGCTCATTTGTGTTCAGAAAAGATATGTGAGGGAAAACAAAATTTCTTCCAAGCGCCAGAGAAACGAAAACACGCATGAACAACAAGCAGATAAAGAGGGGCCCACTCCTTGTTTTGAGTTCTCACCATCAGATAGATTAGAAGTGAGGAAATTTCTGAGAGAGCTTAGTAACATTTCCAGTACATACGTAATTATAGCCGGCTACTGTAAGTTTGACGGCAGAACTAATCTCATTGGGGAAAATCTGTCCTAACTAACATACGCACTTTAGTAGATGTGAACTAAAATGCACATGTTTGGTATTACCTACAGCAGGAACCATTACAAAGAACGTAGATAGTAAGAATGCGCAACATTTTCTGTGGTGAATTGCTTGCTCAAGCGTTGCGAAGAATAAGGAAGATTGATGCAGAGAGCCAAATTTTGGCACAATGGTTTCTGACGGCTAGAAGAGCGTAGACTTAACACGACCCGTAAGTTGGTATTAGAAGGAATTGAAATTCGTATACTACCTAAGTGGACCAATAAAAGTGCGCATCGGTAACTCGACAGAATAATGGCGTTAGAATGCGAGTTTTGGGTGTGCATTAAAACCATGCAAAACGGATTAACTAGTTGTTATGGTTAGCACTGATAGCAAATAACAAACTGAGTACTCGCCCCAATAAACAGATATATGTGTGTCACTGTGAGTTATATTTCCCATGAGACTAGTTAGCTTGGATACATCCAGAATATCCAACATGTACTATATATATATATATATATATATATTTACTCAACAGTCCAAAAAATGGACATGGACCCTGAGAGAAAACCATGGAAAACAAAGCAAACTACAATATGAAAAGAATACAACTATAATATGTAGATTCGTGCACACGTAACATTGTCAGTCCTTTTCAATTTTTGTAGTATTAAATACATGAATCGGTATAATTCTTTATAATGTTCTTCCACTAATTCAGGTTACGGGCCATGTCCTCATGCATGTTAAACCGTTGACACTCCTCATCATTGGATCCCCATCCGGGAAGATTTATGGGTCCAAAGGCGGTTAGAAGCGACGTCAGGACTTTCATGGGCTGTCGCCATGTGGAAAGCTGAACGCTACGCGTGCGCATCCAGCCCGGTCCTTGACTAGCGAATAGAGCGCGGTACGGTAAACACTCGGGTGCCATGCGTAGAATGTGAGTGAGCCATCTCAACGGAAGCAGCGAAACCAGCTCGTTGAAGGGAATACTCTGCGTCCTCTAGACGCGACGTCGAACGTCCTTACTGTGAACTTGATGCTACCACACACGAGCGCTCCATCTCAAACAAATTTTCTCGAATGCAGAAGGACCACACATGTCTTCCTAGCGGATTGGTCAGGGCTTGCCTTCATACATCAATACTGAACGATCAGATGCACTATACATATGGCTCTTCATCTATAATGAAGCGTCTAGACGACGCCACAAGTGCCTCAGATTGACTACTGCTGATCGGGTTATGGCGATGCTAAGCGAAACTCCCTTGCTGATAGTGCCATCAGCAGAAGTCGGCTCCCAAGGATGACGAAACTATGCACCTGTTCAAATTGTGCATTTTCAACGGTGAGCACGGGAACAGGTGTAGGCCATTCAGGGGGTAACACTTTACATTTCGATGGGGCGAAGCTCATGGCATACTTAAATGCTTCAATCGCCAAGCAATCTATATTGAGTTTCATACCCTAGGATGATCATTAGCATTATCAAAGTCGGCCCATGCTAACCCGGCAGAAGCTGTAGGTCGAAATGTTGAGAATCTTCGAGAGATCTCGGCAGATCGTCCTCGATTGCGAAGTTGAAGAGGCATGGAGACAGAGAGCGACCCTGTGGCACACAGCTATTGACAGCGCACCGTGAGAATAGTTTGATATAGACCCTCACTTTGCCGGCGATATGCGGGTAAAGTTCGCTTAAGATGGTGGTATATTTCGTTGGCAACGCGTTCTTTAGCAAGCAACGACATAAAGCAGGTAGATTAACAGAGTCAAAAGCCGCACGTATGTCTGGGAATGCAACGATAGTGAGCCTGTGATAAATGTGGCGATGGTTGAGGAGTTGGTGGAGCGTGAAATTTGGTCTACGCGTCCACGGCCGCGACGGAAACCAGCTTGTTCTTCACGATAGTATGATTTACGTACAGTGGATATTCTACGAAGCAGAGTGTATGCCAATAGCTTGGATGCAACGGAAACAAGACTAATTTCGCGAGGATTGACACGTGAAACTCGGGACAATAACTGATTCGCCCAGAAAAAACACTTTCTCCTCACGCTAAATTTTGCGAACAAAGCAGTCAGCGAATTAATGACCTCCATCCCGCCGTAACTGAACCGTTCCGGAAGAAGTCCATCAGAGCCGACATCCTTGAATCCTTCAAGCATCAGATCTGGAGGCAGGATTTCGCTTCGCTGAGTGGAATCAGTGGGACAAGACAGGGATGACAACAAGGTGTACTGCATACACTGATAGACAGTGGAGGCCAGTTGAGTTGCGAGTGGAAGTCTCGGTCCAAATGTCTAAACGTCTCCGTTGGTTGGTGATTAGAGACCCATCGGCCTCGTAACTGACCTCACTGACATCAAGCTCCCTGAGGCCAGTGGAACAAATGCGATGGAAAAGCTTGCGAATGTTGCCAGAGATACCAGCGGTCTATAACTCTGAATCATGCCCAGACCACTAGGCCTCACGATCCTTGCACAGGCTTATCTTGCGCAGCCGTTTTTTCAGAGCTGCGCTGCATTTTGCAATCTGCTTCTGCTGGGAAAGCTCTGCGACGGTCGAACAGCTCCAGAGATCGAGCACAGATCCAAGTATTTAAGGGGCTTCGGGCAGGGCCGTAGCTGAAATGTTCAGACGTGGTAACCGTCTCATTGATACAAGTTCAGCGTTGCTATATCTCTTGCTATGAATAGCAACTGAGTGCGTATGAACATGAATAATGATACCTATCCTAGACCAAGGAAGTATTTAATCTGTTTGCATCAATTTTGCGCTATTTCGTTGTTGGGGACCTCAAAACGCATGCAGATGTTGGCGAGGACTTCGCACAAAAGATCATCATCCGAAATTCTATTATCTAACGTTCCTTTACTATTACGACTTACGCCGTATAAACCCTGAAACCTATTCACTATACAAACAATCGCCCCAGCATATGGAGCCGTGTACCGTTTGTCGGTAACTAAAAAAATTTATCCATTTAGTTATTAACTTATGAGCTGAGTCTATAAAGATGGACCAAAAGAACGTACAGTCCGGTACCCTACTATGCTATCTAAAACTAATCGCAATGTGATTAATTTGACGTCACGCTTCTGTTGATGAAGGGAGACGCCAAGTTGCTGAACGCTTCATCGCATGCCTGAAGATGTTTCTGAAGGAAAAAGGATGGTTTCTTTGCACAAAGTGAAAATTATATGTTATCAGAGCGGTCATCATCCAGTGCTTGGTGACTAGCAAGGTGGCTTTCGTATAGTACCAGGCGGGCAACCCGTGCGCTGAAATCCATAGCAAGGAGAACGACATCCAAGCTTGTAACGTTACTCAAGCTCTGATGAAGCTACTGGCAGAAGTCGCCTTTGACCGAGCTACTAGTACAGTCTTTTGGAGCATACACAAAGGTCACAAACAAGCTGTGTCTCTCTTCGCAACGCTTGGTGATTCTACAGGAACCCCGGCGCTGAACTGCACACAGTCAGCTGCTACTTTGGAACCAGGCAAATAGTGCCCTCTCCGCTTTACACTAAGTGCTATAACTACACCAATCAAACAGGCTGAGGCTGCTGCTGCATGTCCAGAAAGAAGCAGGCGATATCTGGCTTCGTGGTTAATGAGGGATGTCAGCGGAAGCAAGGTGCTGTGGTCTTGCAATCGGGTTTCCGAAAGAAAGCAGACTTCAACATTGAGGGCTTCCGGTGTGCTTGCTAGACCGGCTTGCTTTCCAATCTGCATGACTGTCCGTACGCTGAAGCGCGCCAGACGGAACGAAGAGCAGGGTCGAAGGGGCGTCACAGGCTGAACTTCATGATTCGCGGTGCAACCAGTATCGCAGCCAGATACATTACCATAAAGTGTAGGGGGTGTGATATCATATCTAATCGTGTTTAGAGAATAGCTAATTCGGAGGCGCAAAAACTGAGTTTGGAAGGACGTTCCAGCATTGGCAGACCCGAGGTAGAAATGTGTTCCTCGACAATCTAAAAGACAGTAGTGTTGACTTAGTTTGAAGCTATTGCCTCGGAAGTTAGTGTTGGGGTTCAGTTTCCAAAGGTGGCAGCATACATGTCTGTGGTCGCGTAGTTGTTGGTAAACTAACATGAGGTCTACACATAGCCGTCGGTAGCATCCAGTAAACACTCCCATTGGCTTCAGTCTTTGCTTGTGATGTAGGTTGCGCAAGCCCATGATAACTTGCCTTTTTCGACGCTACGGAATTTCGAGAACTGTAAGCTCATGCTTTAGCCAACGTTGCTAACCTTAGATTGCGTATTAGATGTGACGAGCATTTGAAGACCAATGAGAAGATGGATGCATCAAAACTCCCTAATGTTCTCCGTAATAGACTAGCTATATAAATAATTTGCATATTTCTCGACGATGCATGAGAATATTCCCACATAAGAAAATATCAAATGGTATGCAAGTTCTCTTTATAAATCCCCTGGAGATATGGGATGGAAATATATTTTCAAACCACATGTCCAGTTCCACTCCTGATCGGCGTTTTAACAGTAAGGTTTTAACAGGATAGGGACGTCGCCCATGAGAGGACAAATGCTTGATGCTGTCCAGTTTAGTTTTCATGGGCGAATACTAGCTCTTTGCGGGTCACTCTGAACGTGTCTTATACCTGGTTAGTTTAAAGCCGATCAC